TCTCGGCTTTTGTTCTCGGGGAGTGCTTCGACACGGGCTTGTGATGGGCGGAAGCTGAAGTGACTAGAATGCGTAGAGAGATGAATCTTGGTTATCCGTCTTGGCAAGTGCTTTGGCACGTTTTTCTGTTAGAGAAAGAGCGTTGATCTTGCCCAACGGCCTGACGATCTTGTTTAGGTATTGTGCCCTGAGGCAACGATTCGCCCACCCTTCAGGCATGGACTGCCACTAGCTTCGTACTTTCCGAATTGTCAGGTACGAGCAGTTATGAGTGATGCTTGTGAACAGAAATTGAGGTGTTCCGCCAGGATGGCTGGCACCAAGAGGGAACAACTCACCAGCAAGATTGCAGTGTGAAACAAGATCTACATTTAACCACGAGCTACAAATTTACATGCAACTAAAAACACAACTTGTGATCCTACCTCGGCTGCCTTCCTACTGACCAGTGCCAGACTGACTTCTTCTCATACATCGTTGGAAGTATTAGTCCAGGGCCCCGGCCCCGGAAGGGAATAGCGATAAAGTGGCTTCCCATCGCGATCATTTCCAAGATATTTCACACTTTCCCCGTCCACTGGCATCCATGGCCTCTCCTTCAACAGGATGTTTCCGCATCCTTTAACAGAGATGGACCTGACCGCCTCGCAGAACCGAGCGTTGTGACCTTGCTCGTCGCACAACTCACAGAGCGGACTATCGCGGTCGATCTGTTGGAGTGAGACCTTGTACCCCTCAGGATATTCTCCAAGCCCACCCACCACCACCTCGAGATGGGGGAGTTGAGGGGGGCTCCTGAAAACCACGAGGGCCCTGTCGAACATGATGCTACCCTGCCCAGGAACCCCGAGCCAAAACTTCTTGCCCTTGACCTCGGGGCAAAGAGAGACGGCCTCTACCACTCTGCTGAGATTTCTGCCATTCATCAACGGCCCAATGTTGAGAACGTAATGCAGACATAATGGCTCCAGTCTCATCGCTAGACCAGGTTCGACCTGAAGAAATTGGCCGATCAACTTCCGTGCCATCTCCCTGGTCTTAAACCGAATTCGCCATTCCTGGCACCCCTTGCTTGGAGTTTCGATTGAGACAGCCATATTTTTTCTAGGGGTAAGGCGTCGGAACGCATCCGCAATGTCCCCTGGTGTTATCGGCGCCCGCGTGGGGAGAGTACCAGCAACGAAGATCTGCCGCCACCTCCAAGGAATCCGGTCCGCATGAGACTGCGGGCAGGTGATATATGCAGATTCTTCGTAGCGCACCCTGTCCCTTTCATATGGAGACAAGACTGACGGCCCGAGTCTGGCAGACGACGCCGCAAAGTGTGGTTGGACATCTTGTCCACTTTCCCAGTCCGCGCGGTGCATTCTGCTGAGTATTTCATGATCGAATAATCTTTGTATCACCGCTGTCTCCATCGGATCAATGGGAAAATCGACCATGTCGGGCTGCGCCCTCGCCTCGGAGCCCTGGGGCGTGGTCTTGGGCTGGGAGGTCTCGGGCTGGGATGTCTCGGGCTGGGAGGTCTCGGGCTGGGAGGTCTCGGGCTGGGAGGTCTCGGGCTGGGAGGTCTCGGGCTGGGAGGTCTCGGGCTGCGCCTTCGCCTTGGAGGCCTGGGGCTTGGGCTTGGGCTTGGGCTGGGAGGCCTTGGTCTTGGATTGGGAGGTCTCAGGCTGGGGCTTGGGGGGCGCCTGGGGCTGGGATGCCTTGTGTTTGGGGGACGTCTGGGGCTGGGACGTCGGGGGCTGGGACGTCTGGGGCTTGGGGGACGTATGGGGCTGGGTTGTCTTGTCCTTGGGGGACATCTTGGCCTTGGCCTGAGGTGCCTTGTCTTGCGAGGGGCCAGACTGCGAGGAGCCAGACTGTGAGGAGCCAGACTGTGAGGAGCCAGACTGCGAGGACGCCGCGACTGACGTTTGCATGTTCCCGAAGGTCCTGTCGTGGGTTGCCTTCTTGGCTTGTAAGATCTTGGCCTGAGACGCTTGCACAGACTTGGCATGAAAAGACGCCGTGACAGGTTCTGGCCCAACCTTGATCTCTGGAGCCCTGACGGTCGAAGGAGCGGCACACATGTTAGCGCCCTGCGAGATCGTTGTCTTTGCTTGCGAGATCTTTCTTGGTCGAGAGGCGTGCTTCGTTTGCGAAGCCTTCCACAAGCACAGTCAGCAGAGACCTTCTTCCGAGTACTTCGAGGGTTCCATACCTTTGACTTCTTGGCCTTCTTGGCCGGGGGTGAGGTCTGGATAGGCGGCACAGATGGTCCGGCGGATCCTTCCTCCAAGTCGGCTTCCTGTGCCCTTGACCTCTTCTGTGACACCGAGGCACTCTGGTCAGGTTCCGTCATCGGATGGTCCTCTGCGGCTTGGGCGCTTGTAGCCTGTGAGTCAGTGATGTTTCCGTGGGTGGGAGCACCTTGGCTTCTGGACGATAAAATCCGCCGGCTTGGTAACTCTATGACAAAGGTCTGTTTGCCTTTGACGGTGCTCTGGAGAAGCGTCTCCGAACCATGAGCATCTGGGCCCCGGGTGCTGGTTGGATTGACGATGTTGTCGGCGGCGGTGGCATCGTAACCCATGGATCTATCAGCAGCAGCATCATCGGTGGGCGTGCTGAGGTCGACAGTATGGTCGCCGGTGGCATCAGCTCGTTGTGAGCCTGGTGAGCCCGGTGGTGTACAAAGCCGGATCCTCGCCTCTGGTTCCGGTCCTGCCGCATGAGCAGCAATACTCTGGACAACTTCGCTCCATTTGTCCGAGTCGTCGTCCCACATGAGGAGGTCTGCGTCATGGTTGACAGTACCATCCCGAGGTGTCCGTAGTGGTACAAGCTGCGCTGGGCCGAGGGGCGGCATCGTTTCGCTACAACGGTTGTCGAGGTCGTGGCTGGGTACGGGTGGACTGAGAAGTTGACTTGTCCAAAGATGAATGCGGACTGCCTCCGACTCTCATGTACGACGCGTCGCCCAGTTTCATGAACTGCATTTTCGCGTCAAGAAATTAGCAAGTGCAAGTTGTGGAGTAACTGAGCTTCTCCCCGGTCGTTCAGAAGACCCTGAGAGGGAGCACGCCCAATAAATGAACCCATCGTGGGTTTCGCCCCGCTGGGAGGACAGGGTGCGGTGCGATGCGGTGCTCCGTGCAACCTCGGGGACGCGCCGAGTCGCGGGACCCTTGAGTTACGATCGCGACAAAGCTCCCCGCCATCTTCGTACCGTGACCTTATCACGTGTCGCTTAGCGCATGTTACCTAAGCCAACTTCAAACACCCCGGGGAAGCTGGAGATGCCGAGGTCATCGTCGGCCCCGGCGCGGGACAGATGGGGCCGAGCCAGATTGATTCGACTCCATCCGCGGTCCCAACCTCGAACGGCAAAAGGATCACACGTCCATTCCCAAGGTTGATCTCCGAGATATCGGTTCTTGGATTTCTTTCCAACCTAACATTCTTCGAGAAATATCTGCGGCTTGTGCCCTACAACTCGACGGGTTGACGTCAGTCATTCTCATCAATAGGCGTACGATTCCAAGGACGCGCCTCGTCCATTTGGAAACCATCGACAGCGATTCCCTGCCAACTCAGTTTGCACACACGCTCGCAGTTCATCATGGCAGACGAGCCTGCCGTCTCGGCTCTCCCGACTGCCGAGCCTCTCCCGGTGCCTCCGAGTTCAGCTGAGGCAGCGCCGCCGACTCCGAAATCCCCGAAGACACCGACGAACCCCATCCATCTGGCTCTCGCCGCTGCGCCTGGCAATATCGATGCCTTCCTAACACATTTGCACCGTTGCATGCAGACGCCATCCGGAATCGATACGGTGCTTCTCCTTGTCGGCTACTCAGCCCGACTGTCCGCCAATATACTCGACGCAGCTAGCCGGTCGGCCATTGAGAGCTCCGTCCATAGGCTGATCGCCCTGGCATTCTCTCTGCCGCCCAACACGACGTTTCTCCTTGCATCTGCCCCCCGCGCTGCTCCTCTGGCTGCCATTGCCATCAAGTTGGCAACACGCCTGCGGGCATTGTCGGCGCTACTGAGCGAGAGTCGGACGTTCCTCCGCTCTTGGGCTCTGTTGGGTGTATATCTCTGGGGCAAGGGGCTTCTTCTTCCCCTTCTGTCAGCCCGGAAGAGCGCTGGTGAGAAGGATGATGCTATGACTGCCGAGAAGACTGCGGCGGAGAAACTGGACAGGACAATCGCGTTTGCACAGTTCTCGTCCATCGCGGTCTTCCAGGCCCTCGAAAATGCGTACTTCCTCTCGTCAAAGGGAGTCTTTGGCTTGAGCCCCGCTCAGCAAGGCAAGGCCGCAAGATGGAGTGTGCGCAGCTGGATGGTCTTCGTAGGCCTAGAGCTGGGACGTCTCATTATCGAGCGCCATCGCAAGCAGGGCGAAGACGTGCAAAGTGCCGAACACAAGGCATGGAAGGAGACTTGGCGACGCACTCTGATCAGAAACCTGGCGTGGGCACCGCTCACAGTCCACTGGAGTTTCAACGGTTACCTTAGCGACACGGCAATATCGGCGCTGGGGACAGTTCCAGGCATCATCGGCATTCGGCAGCTGTGGAAGGACACTGCCTAAGGCCATTGGGGCATCAGAATTACTCTACTACAGAAAAGGAATAAAGTAGAGCCGTGCCGTCACTTGCAAAGCACATGGGTACTAGCCAAGAGGGCTGCTCATCACATCTTGTATACTCGAAGACCACAACCCAGACCGATCGTGAAGCGAGGCGACGGACCCATGCCCATCCTCGTTCTCACCCGACCAGCTCCCTGAGATTAGCAGCATAAAATACCCCACTTCCGTAACTGAGCTGCTTCTGTTTGTCCATCTTGCCTGCTACTTTACAGTCATCCAGCTCAAAAGCCTACTCTCACAAGGAAGAAAAAGGTCAGAAAGGCAAAAAAGTTGCTCGGAGGCGGATTCGAACTGCCGTCAATGCAGTATTGTAGTAGCGACCACAATGCATCATCCTAACCAACTAGACGATCCGAGCGGATTCCGAAACGGGGAATCGAACCCCGAGCCTGTCGGCGCTTTCGAATGAAAGCGACAAATGTTAACCGTTACACCATTCCGGATTGAAGACTTGGCTCAAAATCAGGTATCAAGTAGCGTTGGCGTCGAGGTCTGGCGTCGAGCGAATTCATTTCTCGCTTGATGCTCCCCTACAGCAAGTTCCTGTCATAGCTTTACCTCTCAGGAACCAAGATGACATGTCATACAAGTCGATTACTGTTACTCGAGACTTGCTCCATGTGACTAGATGAGGGGGAGTGACTGGAACATTACACTGGCGGTGCCGTCGGCAAATGGGAAACTTGTCTTGTCGCTATCTAAATGAAATATCACGATCCCACGTCAAAACCATCGAAATACCCGAATTAAATTGATAATCTTTTAGCCTTTGCTCATAACTCTCACGAAGAAATGGTCAAATGGGCATGGATCGAATCTCCTCAATCGTCCAGTACCGTCGCATATTTTCTGCCCCGAGCGTCTCGACTTCCTGATCAAGATGCTTCCACAGTACCTCTCCCCAGCTATCAAGCTTTTCCTTCATCACTGACATCTCAAAGTCGAGCTCTCGCGACTGGCACTTGTGCAGGTACTCTTCCAACCCGTCCATGCCGCGATGGATCTCCTTGTGCTGGCTTAGAAGCTCGGCACGACCGCCACGAAACTCGGGCATGCGTCGCGCCATCATCGGGAAGAAATACGTTTCCTCGATGTTGTGATGCGCTGTGAGCTGCTGCGTAAATTGAAGACCCTCCTCGATGTACTGACGCAACGACATGCCATGGGGTCGTTTGTTGGCTGACGCTGCCCCATGAAGCATGTTCCATGTCCGTCGAAAGTGCTCATGCTGTGAAAAGTCAGATTAACACTCCGACTCGGGTCAGAAGCATAATGACTTACAAAATAGTTCATTTTCACCGCCATGCGATTAAAAGCCTTGAATTCGTGGTCGGTGAGTGGCGGAAGCTCTGGTTTTGCCTTCGCCTCGTCGGGCACCGTCGAGCTTGGAGATTCAGGCTGCGTCGGCTTGTCACTCGTCGACTGATCCGACGACTTGTCCATCTTGATAGATTGCGAGGCCGATCCCGTAATTGAAGTATAGAATCGTAGGCAAACAGGCGATAGTCGACTTCCACAACCAGGTGCCCGATTGATAGTACACGATGTGGCGGAAATGAGCGGGACCCAAACAGTGAGACTCTTGCGACGGGCGGGTTTGCTTGAAAGCCGTATGGTGTTGATGGCTCGTGCCAGCAACGGCATAGGTGTTCTGTTTGTTGTGTCGGAATGCAATTGCAAAGGCTCTTCGAGGATGTTGGACTCCGCCAGAGGAAACTTTATAACATGGCAGGTACGAGCGGGCACATTCTATGAAACGTAAGTAAAATAAGTATTATTCTGAACTCGATGTTTCCACGTTCATAGGCCATTCGGCGGATAGGGAGCAAGAGGTGCTTGATTGGAAGTTTCGGAAATGCCCACACTCCGATTGGTCTGCTAGAGGTACGAACTTGAAGTAGACCGCGCGGCTGACCCGCCTGCCGAGTTCGGACGGACCGCCCGGTAGGATCGACAGCCTGGTTGGACGAACTTCGACGGAGGCGAAACGGAGAGCAGGAGCCTGACGATATCTTGGTCATTTACCGCGCGGTAGAAACGCCTCGCCATCGTGTATTCATACATGCTATTAGCCAGGCGTGCATTCTATAAGCTTCCATTCCGAGAAGCTACCTGAGATACCTGACATGAAGGGACCCTCCTCCTGTCCCCTGCCCCTCGGCGCGCCCGATGCTTTTTGACCGAGCATGACCCTGATGCAGTAACGCATGAGAAAACGACAAAACAGACGCCGACCACGATCACTGCCCACGCTTAACCCCTAACCGCAGCGCCCAGTGCGCCTCCGGTGAACTGTGTACCGCCGGCCTGTCTTTGCGTGTTGCCGCCTCCCCTCGCACCACCCCTACCCCGGTTGCCACCGCGACCGCCGCCACGTCCGCCGCGACCGCCTTGCCTCTCAAAGGCATTCGACGAGCCTTGCGTGCGCGTCTCCAGCGTCCTCTCGTTCGTCTCGATGAGCTGGCTGGCCCTGTCGGACATGGCGAGGGCGAGGCTCTGCAGACGGCTGAGCTCGACACCCTTGCGGAAGATGACCGTCGAAGTGACCTGGTCCAGCGACGCAGCAAGCTCTTCGTGGCTGATCATCTTGCTGATGACCGCCAGCACCTTGGCAGCCTCGAGCTCGAACATGTCGCTCAGCGTCTCCACGGCGAGGGTGTCGTAGAAGGGGGCGTATGTGAAGAGGTATGTCCTCAGGCCCTCTTCCTGGATCTGCTTGGACAGCATGGTCTTGATGTCGTCGGCACTCGGCATGAGCTCCCAGATCTTGATGCTGTGGATGAAGTGGATCGACTTCTTCCAGTCGCCAGCGGCAAGTGCCTTGGACGCCTGCATGACGTGGTCGCGAGTGTTCTCGGGAGGGCCAGTGAAGATCTGGCGCTCGTGGTACTCGAGCATGCGCCTGTATGTCTTGCTGATATTGCGCTTCTTGATGTCGGGAGAAGAGCCGGTCTGGGCCAGCAGAGGGATCTCCAGAAGCATGCTGCATGTGAGGTAAACGCACTCGAGCAGCTCAAGGTTGATGTGCATGTGGAAGGGCAGCTGGCGCTGCTTCTCCAGCCTCTCCTGCTCTGGGGAGACCTGGCTGAACCTCTGGATCATGACGCCCTGAGCGAGGAGCTCCTTCTGGCGACCGCTGCCGCAAATCTCCTGCAGCGTGTTCTGGGCGTCGTAGACGAGGCCCTTGCGGAAGGCACACAGGCCAACCTGCACCAGTGTTCGGTTGTACAGGATCTGCGAGAGGACGTCGAAGTTGGGGATGTTCTCCTGAAGGTGAGACATGAGCATCATGTCCCTTGCCTTGTAGTAGTCGTTGTGCAGAGCCAGGAAGTACACCTGACACAGCATGGCACGGGCACGCAGGATACCCTCGGCGTTGCTGAACAGATAGTTGCACAGGGTGTTGACAAGGGCGGCAGCATCTGCCGACTCAGTGCGAGGTGTGATCTGGGACTGGGCCTGGGCGGGAGCGGCCTTCCACGCGTTGTCCTCGAGAATCTTGACGACTTGCGCAGGCTGCGTCTGGTTAGCACGGCATTGTCGCGGGGAAAACCTGGAGCAGACAAACCTTGAAGTAGACGTGGTCCAGTCGCCTGGTGATGATGCGGTTGATGCTCTCCTGGGGAATGGCGAGGTCCTCATCCTTGTGCAGGCGCTCGTAGTAGACGAGACCCCTCAGGATGGTGTTGTAGAGAGCTCCCTCATCGGTGAGGCGATCAATGTACTCAGAGGTGTGAGGATCGATCGTTTGCAGAGACCGGGTGAGCTCATCGTCCAGGCGCTCGACGTACGATACCATGCTGCCGGGAACCTTGATGTACTTCTGACCGGCCTCCAGCGCGGGGGGCTTCTCATCGTCGTCCCACTCCTCGGCGTTCTCAACGACAACGTAGTCGGGGTTCTTGTCGAGCTCGTCGAAGAGAGCTGTGAGCTCCTTCTCGGCAGCCTTCCAGTGCTCCAGGGGCATGGAGCTGGCGCCACCAGAGCCAAGATCGAAGCGAGTCGAAACGATCGTCAGCAGGACGCGAATCTTCTGGTAGGGGGTGTTGGCGATCTCGTTGAGCTTCTCCATGACCTTGATCTGCTCTTGCCTGTCGGTGTTCTTCTTGCCACGAGACTCCATAATGATGCGCAGGTGCTTGAAGATGCTCTCGGGGGTGAACTGCAGCGCACGGCCGCCCTTACCGACGGTCGCGAAGCCCTCGTCATCATCAACAACGGGCTGCGCGATGTCCTCGATGGTGACGCGGCTGGCCTTCTTGGGCTTGGACACAACTTCCTCCTCCTCGTCGGACTCCATGAAGCCGTCGTTGTTCTTGCGGTAGGCATCGACTTGTGTCTGGTGGTCCTTGTTGATCTTCTTGATCTTCTGCTTGACAGCGTTCAGGCCCTTGGCGGCCAGAGCGTTCATCTTCTTGGGCGTGACCTTCTGCTTCGCGACCGCCTCGTTCATGTAATCCTCCAGCTCGGCAATCGTCTTGATGTAGGACTTTGGTGTCTTTCCAGTCTCCTGAATCTTCGCAACCTGGCGGTTCAGCTTGTCGAACTCTGGAGCAAGTCAGCACTCTGGTCAGATTGACCAAAAAGGCACAGTCTTTACCGGAAGAGATGGTGGCCCAGTCGCCGTTCTTCTCGCCGTTCTCGATGAGCTTGATGGTCGCCTCGACCTCCTCATGGCGCTTATCTTTGGCGCTCTTCACCTTGACGCGCTCATCCTGATCGCTGTCTTCGCTGTCGGAGGAGACATCGCGGAGGAAGCGGTTGGCGCCCTTCTGGGCTCCCTCGTCGTCGGAAGAATCGTCGGAGGAGTCATCCTCATCCTCATCGCTGTCGTCTTCGTCGGAGTCGTCGGAGTCGCGGACCTGCTGCTTCTCGTTCTGTTCCTTCTCCTCCTCGGAGTAGAGCTCCTCCTCGTCGGAGGACGAGTCGGTCGAGCTGTCGTCGCCGCCACGGAAGAACTTGGACATTTTTGCTTTCGTGGCCTCGCGATAATTCGTCCGGTTATCGAGTCGGGCAAGGGCCGGCAAACGTTGCGTCGATGGTTGGTGGTTGAGTGGTGAGGGGCAACTCTGGGAAATATTACAGATTTTGCAAAATCATCTGTGGGGTTTTTCTGATGGGGCGGGTACACAGTGTAGGCGAATGCCAGGAGGGGGAGCTTGCACCTGCCGCCAAACGGGCCAAACCAGCCTGAGTCACCCCTCCTCGCGGGTGGCACGGACCAGGCAGGCACGCGCCTGCCGCCTGGTGAATTCCCCGAATATCACGTGATGCTAACCGTTCCCGCCACGCCGCCGTGCCAGCCTGGATCTGGAGCCATCATTGGCTTCGGATTTTTTTGCGTACCAAGCTCAACTCCAGGGTGGACGGCTTCCCGCAACCCCCTTCCAACCACAACTCAATCGACGCGGCAGCCATCGCAAGCATTGTCGCGAGGCTGCTC